TATGATCATCTCCTTTATCATCAACACTAATTAAAGAATCTCTTTTCTTAATAACATGCAACATATTCATCTCAAAACTATCCTTGATAAATATACTTACAAGTTGATAAATAACAATATCACTATCATAATAAATAACCTTGTGTCATAACAAATAATGAGCCAATAATAATCAGTCATAATAAATAATAACTAATTAGTCTTGGATGTGTGATATCTCACTAAAGGCATATCATGACCACAAGATAATTGGTAATTCAAAGTATAGATATATGAGGATTCCGTGTTGTGTCTCTGACGTGCTACCTTGGAGTGTAAAAGAGAGATATGAGATAAAAAGAAAGAATAAGAAAGGTAAAAAAGTACAGTTAATGGATATGTCTATAATTTGATACTTTTATTGATGCAAAATATTTTTTCCTTTTTCTTTTTAGTGTTTTTATTTAGATGCATTATTTCTTTGTTTATTTTGGTTCATTAAAAGAACAAGAATAATAAATAATAAATAATGAAAAATACAAGAAAACAAAGAAATAAAATAATAAATGAATGAAATTGAAATAATTGATTAAATGTAATGTTAAATAAGAAAATAAGAAATGAACAAATAGAAAGTATAATAAAAGTGATAAACATTAATCTAAGTAGTTATTTCTATCAGTGTGTTAGTGAATGTAGAGAAGATTAAATTAATAAAAGAATTAAAATGAAATGATTAAATAATTCAAAAACATTGAAATAAAGAATAAGATTGATATTATATAACATTGTTTCCATCATAACAAACATATTTTGTAAGATATTAGACAATATTGATAGTATTAATTTCAATACTTAATTAACTATTTTATAAATAATCTATCATAATATCATTAATACCATACTTTTAACTGTTAATTATTAGATTGTGTTAATAACATATTCTAAATGATAATACACCAATATAAAAATGAATAAATAAGAAAAGAGTAATAATATAAATGATAATCAATTATAATTTATTTCTACTTCAAATTATATTGTATTTCATTTATTGTATTTTTATTTCATTCATCACTATTCATCAAAGCATCTTCTTGGTATTCTTTCATTTTTCATTAATTCTTCTTCACATCCACATCCATAAAAACATCTATATCCAAATGATTCAATTGATGATGGTATATTAATTAATGTTAATGATGTACATCCATTAAAACAATAATTTCCTAATTCAATAACTGATGATGATATATTAATTGATTTTAATGAATGACAATTATTAAAACAATAACCTCCTAATTTAGTAATTGGTGTTTGAATATTAATTGATGTTAACGATCTACATCCATAAAAACATTTATCTCCTAATTCACTAATTGATGATGGTATATCAATTGTTGTTAGTTCATAACAATCTTTAAACATTCATATCCAAGTGATTTAACTTGGGAACCAAAATAAGCAAAGAAATAATGAATCTAAATAATAAACCCCAAAAAGAAAAGGCAAAATATTTTGAATCAATAAAATAATAGTTTTTATTATTTTGCTCCTAAAAAAATAAAAAGTAAATTAAATATCATTCTATATTCAATTATATCTGATTATATTTTATATCATTTTATGGTAAATTGTT